CAGTAGGTAGAAAAAGTTTTCACACAATGGTGCAAATTTAGGGCAAATTGTTAGACCATGCGCAATGGGAGTCGGATAGTGTGTTTTTCTTTCAAGCCACATTTGCATGGTCCCAATGTCACTGGGGTGCTGATGAGAAGATGCTGAGAAATGGGAACAACCTTTTATGATGCATGACAGAGTCCTTTCATCATTTCAACGTAACCAGAGTCATAAAACATTCCGTTAAGGAGCTGCCCCGACAATAGACCAAGCCACCTGTCACGGGGTACTTTGGACTCAGGCTCGGGGCTAGTGCATCTGTCGTTGTTTGAACTCCGTCGTCAATGCTCCCCGTTGGCAAGGCCGAAAGTGGTGATTTCGCATTTTGACTATTCGTCCACTCGACGATGAAAATTATGAAAGGATAATTCAAATTTTGTCTTTGATATTGTTTCCAATAAGAGATTTATGCGTGTGGTTAATCTACATGCATTTGCTATGGTTGCTGTTTCAACAATAAAGCCTTACACTCCGACGACCGGAGTCTGAAGTCTGAAGCCGGAAGTATCGAGTTAAGCTGTGCTCATGTTGCCATGGCTGCAAGTCGTCTCCTTCGACAGCGACAAAATCTGTTGTGTGTTCGGAAGGCCCGAGTCCTGGCTTCGCGGTTGTTGAGTCGAGCCGGGATCGGCTTCGACATCTGCAATGTGGTGGGTTGAGAAACTGCCTTTATTTATTTATTTCAGATGTCTGCCGAGAGCCTGGTTGTCTCCAAAGCACCGAGGAGGTCTGAACCCAATTCTCGCAGATATACTTTTAGACAAAACGGTTTAGGGGAAGATGTTTGTTCTCTCTCTCTCTCTCTTACCCTCTCGATCTATGCATCCCTTCTTTAGAGTACCTCTCAACTCTCGGACAGCCTCCAAGGCTGAGTGGAAGAAAGCGAATGGTATCACGCTCTGTGCCGGGCCCGCGAATATGTCTGACAAGTTGCTCACGGGAAGGAGGAAAGTTAAAAAGATTAACGGCTCATCCTTTAGCATTTATCTATAAGGGTCTAGCAACCAATATTGCCTTATGTTTGGCAACTCGACTCCCTCCGGTCTGGCCGGCCTCTTCACTCTCCTGCTCTCTCACCCGCTCCTCGCATTCCGGCTCCAATTCCTCCTGCCTCTACTCCATGCCGAACACAATTCCCTGTTTGTCCTCGTCTTGAGGCCTCACTCTGTCGTAGGCCGACGCGAGTTTCCAGACAATGCCAGCGCCGGTTCGGGCCTGCCGATACTTCGAGTGCAACCGGATCATCGTCCTGTTGAAGAAGCGTTGCACTGGGCTGCTTTTGAGTGGCGGCCCGACTGGCCGGGAAATCATCCGTGCACAAGCTTGACGCCGAACTCGAACCACGGTCGAAGTCGTCGACGCCAGAGACGATCTGTGTTGTGCGTCATCGATGAGACGAAGCCCATTCTGAACGACCTCGGACGGCTCATCCACGAACCTTCTATACTTCGACGGGCAAATCTGCTGCAACCAGGCCGAGGCCTGCATTTGGGCCAGACAGAAGGCAGTTTGGCCAATTTTACGAACCATTCTATGTCTCTTCTGCTCCACAGGTGATGGCTCAACTTCCTCTGCTAGTAAAAGTAAGCTTCGGTGGAAATTAATTAATTAATATATCGTCTGCCTTCTGCGCAGAAACTGCGTACAAGCAGCCAAAATTAGCATTTGCTGAAGAGATTGCCATTTGTAAGTTTTCTTGCACATCTGCCCCCCTCAGTGCAAACTAGGCGAGATTTACTGCCCGGGACACTGTTGTCTTCGTTACTAAATATGATCATTTTGGCGTTACGAGAATCAGGACACTGCTATAATTAGTAGCTTCTCTGCTGTCTGGTAGGATGGACAGTTTTGGTATCTAGAAGTTCATCAGAATGTACAGTCGACAGCTTCTGGCGCATCGGGTCTGTTCGAAAAAAGAACCGACGAATGGTACACGAATCGTATTCCTCGAAGAATATGGCTTAATGCCAGGGTATCTGGTTGCTGGGAGTGACTACGTCATAGTTACTGATTCCTTAGGAGCCTATTCACTTGGTGAGAAAGCTGAAAGGGAAGAGAAAACTGTGCAATTGTTGAGCTTACTTTCATTTCGAGTGAAAGTGTCGGGTGAAGAGATTCTAAGGTCGGTTCCACCAGAGGACGACGGCAGATTCCTCTTGACCAGCTGTCGATTGGCTTTACTGGAACATTCATTGGGGCACTGTTTCCGAGGTAATCTCTTTCGATCCCGGTGAAAAGGTACTAAGCTTTCGTTCATCCCATGACGAACATCATCAGAGCAAGGTATCATCCTCAAAACCAAATTCAAGCTAACGAGTCAAGAAAATGTTTAGGTTGCAACGATGCTAGCTAGCTACACAACATGTGAGGGTAGAAAAATTTGATTAAATGGGAGTTTACTGCATAGCATGCGGGTTCTGCGAATAGAAATATACTAGCGAAACAAAAAGAAAAATCAGTATGTGAATTGAAGAAATCAAAGACTTTGCAGGGAAATGGACCACAATGCATAGACTGGACATAAGATGAATTGGAAGGTAGCAGAAAGAAGGACCTTATACGGTGAAAACACAAAGAAACGGAAGTTTAGGGAGGCTGAAATAAATTTGATGGCAGGAGGATTGGAAGACGGCAGATTTGGCGATACATTTACCTGTTGCTTCGCAAATTCGGAGAAAACAAGGATACAGCACGACCCGTAAAAAGGAGATGTCCTCCGAGGAGTAGTTTTTGCAAGGAGGAAGCGGGTGGGGAAGCTTGGAGAAGTAGGTACCACAGCCTCTTGAGTTAGGCAAGATCTTCCTGTGAATTAGTCACCAGTTTGTGCCTTACACAGTTTTGCGAAAAAAAAGTAGAGTGATGAGCTTTCTTCAAGTTCGAATGAAAGTGTTTACTGAAAAGATTCGATGGTCGGTTCCACCAGAAGACGACGGCGGGTTCCTCTTGACCAGCTGTCGATTGACTTTACTGGAACATTCTTAATGTACTATTTCTGAAGTAATCACCTTACCTCGGAAACCGCCGTCGTCTTCTGGTGGAACCGACCATCGAATCTCTTCAGTAAACACTTTCACTCGAACTTGAAGAAAGCTCATCACTCTATTTTTTTCCGCAAAACTGTGTAAGGCACAAACTGGTGACTAATTCACTGGAAGATCTTGCCTAACTCAAGAGGCTGTGGTACCTATTTATCCAAGCTTCCCCACCCGCTTCCTCCTTGCAATAACTAATCCTCGGAGGACATCTCCTTTATACTGGTCTTGCTGTATCTTTGTTTTCTCCGAATTTGCTGAAGCAACGGGTAAATGTATCGCCAAATCTGCCGTCTTCCAATCCTCCTGCCATATAATTTATTTCAACCTCCCTAAACTTCCGTTTATTTGTGTTTTCCCCGTATGAGGTCCTTCTTTCTGCTACCTTCCAATTCATCTCATGTCCAGTCTATGCATTGTGGTCCATTTCCCTGCAAAGTCTTTGATTTCTTCAATTAACATCCTGGTTTTTCTTCTTGTTTCGCTAGTATATTTCTATTCGCAGAACCCTCATGCTATGCAGTAAACTCCCATTCAATCAAATTTTTCTACCCTCACATGTTGTGTAGCTAGACTTGCAAAGAAT